AAACCCCTTGCTAAGTTTTGGTTCAAATTTCTGTTAACCAACCTTCTACCAAGAGGCTCTGATACAAATGATGTAATTCCTAGGGATAAACGTCTCATTTTCTGTATTCTCAATAACATTCATGTGAACCTGTCTGCGATCATTTTCGAACACCTAAAGGAATCCATTCTAGGCTCCATAAATCTTCAAGTGTCGTTTATACTGTATGGCGAGTGTTGTCTGAGTTGTTTGAAATGTAGAAATTGTTAGAATAGTTCGAAGAGCTCAGTTAGTTCAATTAACACTCTCTTTGATGAAAATTGTGAAACTTTTAAAGTCTAAGAAGTCTAGTCTTGTGTCGTGTTCATCTATTTCCTCTTGTACTTCCTTTATACTTCTTTAATAAGAATTTCCAGTGTTTATATCCTTAAATCTCTTCTGATGTGCTTAATTATCTTTATATCAGTAAATGAAATCTTATTTCTTTTTAATTATGACAAAAAGGGGGAGAAAGCATAATGATAATTTTGATGCATACCTAATCTTCTAAATCTCATTGCTTACATTTCACACACACACACACACGCACACGCACGCACGCACGCACGCACGCACGCACCCACGCACGCACCCCCCCCCCCCCCCCCCCCCCCCACACACACACACACACACACACACACACACACACACACACACACACACACACACACACACACACACACACACACACACACACACACACACACACACACACACACACACACACACACACACACACACACACACACACACACACACACACACACACACACACACACACACACACACACACACACACACACACACACACACACACACACACACACACACACACACACACACACACACACACACACACACACACACACACACACACACACACACACACACACACACACACACACACACACACACACACACACACACACACACACACACACACACACACACACACACACACACACACACACACACACACACACACACACACACACACACACACACACACACACACACACACACACACACACACACACACACACACACACACACACACACACACACACACACACACACACACACACACACACACACACACACACACACACACACACACACACACACACACACACACACACACACACACACACACACACACACACACACATATATATATATATATATATATATATATATTATATATATATATATAAGATTTTTTAGAATGTGTTTCAGGTACATCAGAAAAAAGATAATTGAATTGAGAACTTCTAAAGTTTAGGAGGTTCAATTAAATCAAACTGTGATAAAGAAATTCTAATGATTTGAAGGGTCTGTTGGTCAAATTCTGATTAAAGAAGTTCTAAGGTATAAAATATTCCGAGAGATGACTGATAACTTGTTATTAAATTTTATTTTAAAATATTTAATATTTTTTATATTAAATAATATATTTTTAATTAATCAAAATTAATTTTTTTTCTTTTTTTATTTAGGTATAACTTTATACCAAATTAATCTTAATTATTATACGTTTTTCATCTTCTCCATCATCTTCTCCATCATCTTCATCTTCATCTTCTCAAACTCATGCATTTATCCAAATTCAAAAAAATTTAATCATTCAAATAAAAAAGTCCTTTTTCTTATTTTCGTTGACCCATTTATTAAAGAATCAAAAAATCTTAACTTTGATCAAGAAATGGGTTATAAAAAAAGGTTTTTGAGTGTTTTTTTCTTCTGGAAAACTAAGCTTTAGTGTCAGTAGAAGAGTGAATGATATATCTACTTTTCAATCCAATAATATTTCAATAAATAACAAAGTCATTTTTTATCATCGGGACTATACTAAATGTCGGTCTCTTCAAGTCGTTGTAGGTCCCTACCAGTATATGAGAGGATTATTCTATGGATTTATCATCGGGTTTCCTTCCTCTAATGGCTTCACCCTAGTTATGATTTTGGTCGATAGTTTTTCTAAATAGAATCACATTTTCCTCCTTTAAAGGCCAATTTTAATATTCTCAAAGTGGTTGAATCCTTTCTTAATAGAATTATGAAACTGCATGGTTTTCCTAATAGCTTGGTGTTTGATCGAGATAAATTTTTTATTAGTTCTTTTTAGCAATAATTTTTCAAACTAAGGTGCACCTCTTTGGACATGAGTTATTTGGTAATATGTTTGTGCTGGTTAAAGTCTTATAAGGTTTTGATGATGACAATTAAACAAGGATAAGTTAAATCATAAGTATCACCATTCAAGAAGAAAGCTAAAAACAAAGTATTCAAGTTCCTATGTGATGAGCTAAAAAGAGTCAAATCAATCAAACAAAAGAATTTAGAGGTGTGAAAGTTTTCTTGATCCCGCACTTAATGTTTTAATATGGTATTTTATTAGTTGTATGTAATTTAAGCAATAGTAAGTCTTAAAGTACTAAAGTGATGGACATGCGCACTAAAACCATTTTAAACTCTTCATCATTTTCTCATTTCTTCTAAAAACCAACTCTATCAAGTGCTTAATCGATTAAGAAGCATTTTTGGTCAATTAGAAAAGTTAAACTCACTGTCTAATCAATTAGAACTTTCATATAATCGATTAAGGAGCAAGTTTGGCTCTTAATTGATTAGGAAGCCTTATAATCTATTAAGATGTGAAACTGATTAGGATTTTCTTTTTTTGGGTTAGTCTAATCGATTAGAAAACGTCCAAGCACATGAATTGTTTTTTTTTTTTTTGCTTAGTATAATCAATTTGAAAGCGTGCAAGTCCATGGATTGTTTCCTTTTTGAGCTATTTTTTCCCCTATATAATGGAATGCTTTGCTCATTCTAACGCATGGATTTTCTGAACTATCTACTCTTTTATCTAACTCATTCTTCTTCATTATCCACACATAAGTGTCTTAGTGCTAAGAAAGCGAAAAACTTAATATGAGAGTTGTGTTTTTGTTACCGTGCTTAATTTGTTTACTCGTGAGCTTATTCCTCTTGGGTTTTTGTAATAGACTTGAAGGTTGTAAGATAAACATGTAAAAAAATAGGTGTAAAGTTGTTGGGTTGAACCTATATAAAATTTCAAGTTGTTAATATTAAAAATCACTAGAGGAATCTCTTGAAAACTGAAATAGGTCATGTGGCTTAAGGTCGAACCTCAAATCAATTTATTTGTCTGATCTCTCTAAACTTTATGTCTTTAGTTTCTGTTTTTTTTTTAATCTTTTTTTCTACATAATCTCTACTTCTACCCTCGCTACAAGTTGTTGTGGTTAAATACGACATCACACTTCAACTGTTAAAGAACAATCTAAACATGGCACAACATGTAATGAAGAAAAATGCATATGCCAAAAGGATATTTATGAAAATATGGATGGGTGATGTAGTTTTGGTAAAGATGCAACCATCAAAAAAAATAAATTTTAAAAAAAGGCATTAATTAGTACAAGCTATAATTAATGGTTATATTCAATCAGTTACATGAAAAAAGCATCATTACGAACTTGTACATAATGAATGATACATATTTACATGAAAAAAGGGTAACATGAGTGAGAAAAAAATAAAAATGAAAAGGGCAACATGTGAGCGCGTGGATATGGACATGTGAGTGAGTGAATCTTATAATATTAAATATTAAAAAAGATATTTGTATATGTTTTCAGCTGCTGCTGGCTGAGTGATGACTATTCAGTGCTAAGTGATGAAAACTGTTCATTTACAACCCCACCAACATCTCTAAGGTCCACACGTACCTATTATTATTGCCTTCATTCACTTCATCTCTATTCTATATGCTCCAATTTGCAATTATTTTATTACATTTTATCTTTTCTTATAATATTCAGACATGGGGTCACTCACTGCATTATAAAACATCATCTTGTCCTTTTCATATTTTTGTCTTTATTTTACTATTTCTTACATCACCTTTTCATTTTTTATTTTATTCTAAATATATTACACTACAATGCTAAATGTCAAATACCACATCATTTTATTTACAATTTCTGCATGTAAATTGTACTATAAATAAAAATAAAAAAAGTATACTTTAAGAAGGTGAATATAATTTCCCATATATTTATATATAAATTATAAGAAAATTAAGAAAAAATATAAAATAAACAACTATAAAGAACATACTTAATGACATTAAGTATATGAATCATAAAGTACTTAATTTTTAATATTAATTTTGAAGTACTTAATGTTAAAATTAATTTTTTATTTCTTAAAAATAAGTTTAAATTTTTTTAATATTTTACAAAATATTTTTATAAAATTGTTTTTAAAAATATAAAAAAATTGTTTTTAAAATTAAAATAAATTGCCCTAAAATGTATCGGTTAAATTGTTTTGTCAAGGGTAAATATTTATTTTTACATGGAATAATTAAATAAAAAATTAATTATATATTTACAAAATATTAAATTTTATTAAAAAATTAAACTTAAATAATATATAGCATAATATTTTGATGTTGAAATCGAAATAGTAAATTATTCTTTCCGTCTTATATTATTTATCGTAATAGATCATTTCACATAAATTAAAAATTAATTATAAATAAAATAAAGAGAACAGTAATTTTATTAAATTATTCTGATTAATTATTGATTATTCAAATTAATATTAATGTTAAGTGAAAAATAATAAATTAAAAATATTTATTAAAAGATATAATCAAAAAATTAAATATAAAATTATATTAATAATATAAAATAATAAGTATTTTGAAATATATTTTTTTAAAATATGACAATTATTTTAAGGATGAAAGTATAAAATTTGATATGATATAAATTCCCTATCATGTTGGTCTTAAATTCATCAAACCTCAAACCCCTTCCTCATAATCTTCACACACATTCTCTCTCTTAGTTCATGTGAAACTGTGTTTGTCTTATTTCCTTTTGTGTTTCTCATTGAAACTTTCATATTTCATCAATCTCTCTCTCTCTCTCTCTTGGAAAAAGAAAATGTTTGCAGAAACTGGCCTTCTCTTCCCTTACCTACAGAATTACTCTCAAGAGTTTCAACAACTTGAAGAATATTGCATGACTCACAAATCCAATGCTTCAATGGTACTACCATCTTTTTCTCTTTCTTTCTATTTCCAATATATTGCATTTTTTTTATTTTTTGATCTGCTTCTTAATCTTTCTATTCTCCTTTGAACTGCATTTCCTTGATGAATTTTTACTCAGATAAAGGAAATTCAAATTTTATATCTTTCTTTTTTGTTTAATTCTATGTTCTTCTTTTCCTAAAGTTTTTAGGAAATAAATTAATGTGTAATAAGATTTTTTTTTCAATTAAATATCTCCATATTTGTACTTAAATTTTCATTTTTCTAAATTTAGAAACTCTTTTTCATCTCAAATTCTATATGTCTTGAGTTATATTAAATTAATCATGATCATTATTAAGGTTAAGTTATAACTAGTCTAGTTTTCAATTCTGACTTGATGAACTTGTTGATTGAAAAAATATGAAGCTTGAGAAAAACAAAATAAATTATTCAGAATGTTTCCACATAGATATTCATAACACAAGTGGAAACAGCTAGAGTTAGCTTTAAGTGCTGGATCTGGAAAAGTGTTGCAAAAGGAAAAATAAAAGTGATTAAGATGGAAAGTGTTTTTCTTGTGATACTTCCGTGTTCTTTAATTTTTCTTCCATTTTTCAAGTGTGAACTCATAGTGGAGACTTTGTCTTTTTCTTCCCCACTAAGGGGAGGTTTATTGAAGAAGAAAAAGTCTTTTTATTCCTTTTTTTTTTGCTTTTCTAATATGGAAAAAAGTTTAGAGGAAAAGGACTTGTGAATGCTTAAGTTAATAATTTCTTTTTGGTCTTTTGTGTTGCACTAAATACATAGTTGCAAAAGAGGTATTCATGCTATTTTGCTTCTGTTAACAATAATAGATAAAAGTGTTAGTGGGTTTGTTTTCATGTTAGTGTTGTTTGGTCTTTTGGTCACTCAATTTGGAACAATTCTAAAGACATGAAGTAACTTAAGATCTTTTGATGGACTTAGATACTTAGATTCTCTGTCATCCGTGCGGTTTCTCTGACCGTACTTTGAAGTTGGATTAATCTAACGGCTGAGAGTGTTATATCTCAGCTGTTACATTAATTCAACTCAAAGAGGTGCGGTCGGAGAGGCTACATGGATGGCAGAGGATCTGAATTATATTTTGATACTTGTTTCTACGTAGCCTCTCTGGTCACACCTTGAAGTTGGATTAATGTTTGATTGTAGTTTCAATGTTTCAGCCATCAACACTTAGTGGGCTCTTTCAAAGTCGGCTTTTTTGGGTGAAGCATGGGCTTTGAATTTGCAATCATGTGAAGGTTCAACTGAATTTGTATTCACGCCTTTCGTTTTACGCAAAGCTTTTGTGCTATGTTGAATCAATCTGTTGGATTTTTCTAAAGACAACATATAGTTGTTGTTACAATTATTTTCATAAATATAATACTAATTAAAATGAGAAAAAGTTACGATAATTTCCTATTTTTGGTTAACTATTCAACACTGATTGTGTCTTTTGTCGTTCTATAATTATTTGTTAACTGTTCTTTTATCCTGTGTTTTGATGCAGAGTGACCTTGTTCAATCATCTGCAATGTCAGAATTTGATTTATTTGTAGAGGGAGATCTGTTCAAAGCGCCCGAGACGATTATGGAAGAACCGGAGATGGACCTTGATCCTATGCACATGTCAATGATATCTTGTGGCGAAGATATGTCGTCGCAGGGTCTAAAATCTTCGGATATTGATAATGTACTTCAAAATGAACAGCTTTTAAGTGAGGTATACTATGAGTGCAAAAAAGATCTCTTGGAAAAGGCAAATATAGAGTCGCCTCTGTCTGAAATTCTTGAAATCAAGATTCCTGCTCTGAACATCGAGGAGAATACGGTTCAAGAAAACAAACCAATTCCTGATGTACTATTGCCAAAGAGTGTTAGTTCAGGAAGTTTGAGTTCAATGGATTGGATGCATGGAGCTGCGATGAAGCCTGCTTTCCTTGATTTCCCTGGAATTGATTTCAACGCGGTTTATGGCATGCGGAGGGCATTTAGTGAAGGAGATATAAAGGTAAACTAAAGTATTGTTTATAAAGAGAGACATCCTAATTTGGATTGCGATCGTCTGGAGCGCTGCAAGAGTTGCAAAGAGCTATTGGATCTGGGTGCAACGTTGGATCCACCCAGATCCAACAACAGCTATGCATCATGTGCAGCGCTCCAGAGGATACTAACTAAATCATTTTGCAATCTGCGCGAGATTTGGTGTATGACTGATTTTGTTTTTATGACAGACTCTTGGAAATGGTAACGTGAGTGTTGGCCAATCTACTCTTGAGAGGCCTTTTCTTCACAGCAACTGTACGAGTGAGCAACGTCAAGAAAAACTCTCTAGATATAGGAATAAGAAAACCAGGAGAAACTTTGGGAGGAAGATAAAGGTAAATATAGAAATGATTTCAAAGACTCCATTTTCAGCTTTTGAAATGATTCTAAACTCAATTTCTAACAATGTTGCATGGTTTTAGTATGCTTGCAGGAAGGCGCTGGCTGACAGTCAACCAAGAATCCGTGGAAGATTCGCGAAAACGGAGGAAATTGATGTCAAAAGGCAATGACCCTTTAACTGAACTAGTTGGAAAAAAACAAAAACAAAAAAAAAATAGAAATCAAGTTGCTGCATCAGATCAAGAAAGATGGAAAAGCTAGGAAGTGCTATGTGATTGGAAATTAAAAGCCTGATGAACTTGTGTAACTTGAGCAGGTATCTTGGAATGAGATAAACCTCGAACTCTCTCCTAAGTAGTTTGCCTTATATATCTGCTGTAGATGGATATGACCTTCTAGATATGTACATAGGTTTGAGGAATAAAATAAAGATAAGGTTGTATCTGTGAACTTCCATAATTGTAGTATCATGTTAAATAATGATGTTGAGAATTTAGAATTATTTCTGGGTTGTTGCTCGTTTGAGATTTCGAGTTTTGAGTTCGTCTTTGAACGTGATTGACTGTTTGATTGCGATCGATTTTGGTTAGAGATCGTGATTCTTCCTCATTATAAGAAGATAAAGTTGACTGAGAAATCAAATATATTCAAATAATTACTTGGATCCTTATATAGTGCCATTGATCCTTAAATAATTAATAGTTTATGCTCATTTTCAACTCTTCAAGAAATGTAGAACTATTTGAAGCGCAATTACAACTAAGGCAATGTTGTCAAGTGTTTTCAGTTGAAGTTGGAGATAGTGAATTACAAACAGTGATTTATATATTTAAGAATATTATTCTGGTTTTCTGAATTTGTGGACATAACACTCATCTCTTATATATGTCGATGTTTTCAAGACTTCTTTCGCGGCTATTCAAGAGGTCTACAACACAAGTATCCAAGATCAATTTCTCGTGAAGCTTCGCCCAAAATTTGAAGTTGTCAGAGGTGTTTGGCTGAATATAAACTTTGTTTTTTCTTTAGATACATGTTCAATGTTTCTCTTGCAAACAATTTAGACATATTGTTCATAGTTGTAGTAAGAAGTTTTGTAGTTATTGCAAGCAGCAGGGATATATTATCTCTGAGTGTCCTACGTGTTCTTCATGACCAACACAACATTCGGTGCAGATATTTCATGCAACTACAAATTATGCGGTTAATCCTTCTAATGGTGGCGCATCAAACTGTGGTGTTATACATTCTGAATTGATTCAATAAATGATACTTTCCACTCTTTCAGCCTTGAAAATTTAGGGTAAGTCTTCTAATATTTCTCCCCCATAATTTTTTAATTCAGGTGCATCTAATCACATGACGGGTTCCTCAAAATATTTGCATAATTTACAGTCTTATCATGGTAATCAGAAAATTCAAATAGCTGGTGGTAATACTTTATCTATTATTGATGTTGGTGACATAAACTATGATTTTCGGGATGTGCTTGTGTCACCTAGACTTCCTTCCAATTTATTGTATGTTCGTTAATTGATAGCTAAAAATTATGATATAAAACTTTATATTATTGTTTGTCTTATGCGGGAGCAGGTGTCGAGGAAGGTGATTGCAAAGAGGCCTAAAGTGGAAAGATTGTTTCCACTTTAGTTTCTTTTCGGTCATTTGTCTCTTGAGGATTGAACTTCTATGAGGATTAACATAGAAAATTGGATCATCCAAACTTTGTATTTTGTCTCATTTATTTAAAACTGATTTATTGGAAAATAAAAATGGCGTTTGTAATACCTTTATTTCATGTTCAGTTTCCAAATAAGGTAAAAGTAAAACATTCCCTTTTCCGGTTGGTGTTCATCGTGCTTTAACTTGTTTTGAGATGATTAATAGTGGTGTGAGGAGAATGTCTCATGTAGTTTCTCATGCTCATTATAAATATTTTGTCACATTTATCGATGAGTGTAGATGTTTTACTTGGATATATTTTCTTCGGTCTAAATCCGAAGTGTTTCTATGTTTAAGAAATTTCTTACATATGTTGAAACTCATTTTCAAGCTAGTGTTAAAAAAATTCACTCTGACTCTAGTGATGAATAAATGTCACATGATTCTCAGAAAGGAATCTTGTCCCAATACTCCCTCAATAAAATGGGATGGCATAACATAAAAATTGTCATTTGCTTGAAGTAACACGCATTTTACTTCTTCAAGCTTTTGTACCATCCCGATTTTGGGTAGAGGTGTTATCCACATATGTCTTCTTGATAAACCATTTTTCATCTATGGTTATTAATTTTGATTATCCTTTCTTTCGTCTTTTTAAAATTCAACCGATTATAATGATTTACATACTTTTGTGTTTGTATGTTTTGTACACCTACTTGCGTTTGAAAGATATAAGCTTGGAGCATATTCTGTTCAATGTACATTTATGGGGTATATTCACTCTCGTAAGTGTTTTGTGTGTTATGATGTCTCTAAGAATCGTTTTCGCATTTATAGGAATGAGACATTTTTTTATTATCAACTTATGTTTAATTGTCTTTCTCCTACTGTGAATGATATTGATATTCTTCCCATTTTTTCTATTATGCCTAATATTCCGAGCGTTCAAAATAAGGAAAAGTATGTATTAAGAAATACAAATAACGGGTTCACACTCTCCTTCATGATGTTGATTCGTACTTGATTAGCCATTTGATCCAAAACTTGTTGCACCACACCGTTCTGGCCGAATATCTTGAGCACCTGATGGATATTCACCAGACAGGTATGATTCCTCATATACTTCTCTAATAGACTCACTTTCTAGCATATTTATTCCCACTTGTTATTCATAGGCTGTTAAAGATGTGTGTTGGATAAAAACATTGAATGGGGAGCTTCATGTTCTTCTAGAAAATTTCACATGGGATATTGTCTTTTGTCATTCTAATATAAAATCTATTGGTTGTAACTGGATGTATCCTATGAAATTGAACTCTGATGGGTCCCTCAGTCATTTTAAGGCTTGATTGGTTATCTTGGGAAACAAGCGGGAATATGGAATTGATTATGATGAGACATTTGCACCGGTTTCCAAAATTACAATTACTCACACTCTACTTTCTATAGTTGCTTATAATGGATGGTGTCTTTATCTAATGGATATGAAAAATGCTTTTCTTCAAGGTGACTTGACTGAAAATATGTATATGACTCCCTCTCAAGGTCTATTCTCTTCATCTAAGGGTGTGTGCAAGTTTAAACATTCCTTACACGGTTTGAAACACGCGTTTATGACATGGTATAAGAACTTTCACTTCACTCTATGTGAGTTCACCTTTACCCATAGTCAGCATGATTCCTCTCTATTTATTCATAGCACAATTGAGGGTATTGTTCTACTTCTTTTGTATGTTGATGATATGGTTATCATTAGTTTAGATCATGCTTCCGTTCAGCAACTTAAACAAGAGTTACAGACCTTATTTCATATGAAATATCTGGACAACTTGCATTATTTTATGGTATTGAGGTTAATTCTACGTCTAAGGGAATCTTCCTCCATGAACACAAGTATGCCAAAGATTTAATTTCAATGGACGATCTTCAAACGACTAATCTGATGGATACTTCTCTTGAGGTTAATGTTAAATATCATCGCGATGATGTTGATATTTTAACCGATCCCTTATTATATCAGAATCTTGTGGGTAGCCTTAAATACTTAACTATTACTCGCCCGAACATATCTTTTATTATTCAATAAGTTAGTCAATTTATGCATTCTCCCCGCCATCTTCATATAATAGTTGGTCGACGTATAATCCGCTACTTGAAAGGAACCTCATGTCGTGGTTTTTTTTTTCCTTCTGAAATACTTCCTCGATTGACTGCTTATAATGATGTGGATTGGGCAGGGTGTCCTGTGTAACGCCCCATTTAAATACTTAGTCATTATTTGTTGATTTTGAATTTGCTTTGGCATTTTATGGTGAATCTTAGTTTTGAGGGATAATACTATTATTATTAATATTATAGTTATTATTAAGATTTTTAATATTGTTATTAATATTATTATTAATATTAATATTAATATGATTATTATTATTATTATTAGTGAAGTGTTAGTAATAATAAAATACAATAGAAGAGGGTTAGACCATTTGGGAAAAAAATCATTGTCACGTAGAAACAAAGAAGAGAAGAGAAGAGAAGAGAGAACTAAGGCAAAGGAAATTCTCCATTGTTGAAGCATCAAAGTTGCAAATTAAGGTAAGGGGGATGAATGGATTCTATAATTGGTGATTTTACATGAGAGGGTAGTGAGGGTTCTTTTCCCTCTTAGGTTATTTTTGAATGATTGATGTATGATCTGCTTTTGTTTGATTTGATCGATGTTGATGTATGTGATACTACACGAAATTGTGATGTTATGATTGTGATTGTTGTTGGTGATTTTTGTTGCTATGATGATGGTACCACAAAACCCTAATCTAAAACCTATTAGTAATGAAAATTAGGATTAGAGGATTTGATGATGGAATATGACCCATAACTGATGTATGGATAGTATTGCATTGTGATAAATTGATAGATAGTGAAACTATATGTTTATATGACTTTTTAGGACCCATAATGTGACAAGATCGCAGAAAAATTGGTCTGGTTTAGTGCAGAATCGCAAACAGGAAAACCTTGTTTGCAGAGTATTGTCGGGCGATACAGGGAGTGTCGCCGGGAGACGGTGTTTTGCCAGGAAAAATAAAATGAGAGAATGATGTGAGTTTTTGGATGAGTTATTGGAGGGCGTCGCGCCTAGCATCTCCGAGCTAAGGGTGAGGCGAAGGAAGTTTCGCCAGGCGACGCAGGGCTTCGTCAGGCGATGGATGGCAGTAGCTGAAAGTTGTTTTGGACTTTCTTGAATCGATCATAACTTTAGTTTTAGGAATCTAATTTATGTGTCGTTTGAAGCAGTAGGTAGCTAATACCATGAACTGTGATTTGAAGGATAAAAATGAGTGATAAGGATTATAATTCTAGTACCTAAATTAGGATATAAATAGTTTCCCCTTGTTACACTGAAATGGTTAGTTGTTCATTGCAATGTTGCTTTGCTTACGATGTTGTTATAAGGTGATGTTGACGACTATGATGATAATGATGTTGATGGCCTAAATTAGCACTATGT